TACAGCATTTTGCATTTTTTTTGAGCTTTTTTTTTTTTTTTTTTGTTAATGGGGAAATGTTTTTGTTGCTAGGAAAAATAAAAATGCAAAACGCTGCAAAAACACATTGCACGCATTTCAGCAGCATCTTCCTTGAACTCTATTGCAAAACATTGCTTTTTGCATTTAAAAAAGTCCCTGACCCTTTCCAAAATTGCTCAGAAAAGTATAGATGTGAACGTGTTTCATAGGAAACCATGTTAAATGGACTGTAGTGCGTTTCTGCAAAAAAAGCAGTAAAAATGCATTGGGGGAATATTGTCTTTTAAGTCTCAAAATCCATTCTGTTTCTTTTTGTAATATGATCTTATGTTTCCGTTTGCAGGTGAAATAAACAACAGGAATTTGATTTTCACACAACTATTGAGTGAAGATTCTCAGACCTTTTAGTAAATCATCCTTGCTGCATATTTACATATAAGCAGTCTTCGTCTCTGGCCAAGGTATTTCAAGGCCATGCACATATGTATGCCAAAAGAATGTGGTCAGCCTGCATTCTAGTCATGTGCCAAGCATTCCTTAATACATGAGAAATGCATTGAGTCATATGGCTCAATACAGATAGACACTCAACATCTTTGTACACTTTAATTGTCTCCCTGGGTATTTATAATAGAGATAAACATATTTATTTTTACAATAGTGCTGGGAAGACCATTTCTGTCAAGAGGTGCAGTAATAATTTACCCTTCATGGATGGTATGAGATTCTCACCTTGCTTGACAGCTCTCCTTCTAGTATACACAAAATCTGCATCTCAGTACTGCTTCTTTATGTTCCCATGCTACCCCAAGGAGTACTAAATATAAGAACATCCTTGAGATCACTTATATGTACTTATTTTTTATTGCAAACATTTTCAGTCCTATAAGCTGAAATAGCTAACAGCTTTAAGGTTGTAAGTGAATGGCATTCAAGGTTGCAAAATAAATGTATAACAAAATATATTTAAAGATTTAATTACAGTTTTCTTGTAAATCAAACCTGTCACTCATCTACATCTGAAGTCTCAGATGTATGTTTGTGATCACTTATGAAACAGTTTAAAGCACATCTGAAATAGCTGAGATAGCTAACAGCTTTAAGGTTGAAAGTGAATGGCATTCAAGGTTGTGAAATAAGTATACTTTTTAATATATGGAAAAGTTTACATATACTTTACTGTAAATCAAACCTCTCACCTACAGTTAGATCCATATATATTTAGACACAGTCACAATCTTAGTTTTTTTCAGGTATTTACCACAACATACTCAAGCTATAGTTATATAATGGATATGGGCTGTACGTGCACATTCTCAGGTTTAATTTGAGGATATGTACATCCAAATTGGAGGAAGGGTTTAGGAATTACAGCTCTTAAGAGTAGCCATCCCCCTCTTTTTCAAGGGACCAAAAGTAATTGGACATTTGAATATAATCATAAATAAAATGTTCATTTTTAATATTTTGTTGAGACTCCCTTACTGGCAATGACTGCCTGAAGTCTGGAACCCATGGACATTACCAGAGACTGGGTTTCCTCCTTTCTGATGCTTTGCCAGGCTCTAACTGCAGCTGTCTTTAGTTGTTCTTTGTTTGTGGGTCTTTCTGCCTTTAGTTTTCCCAGCAAGTGAAATGCATGCTCAACTCGGTTGAGATCAGGTGACTGACTCGGCCATTGCAGAATATTCCACTTCTTTTCTTTCAAAAGCTCCTGGGTTGCTTTTGCAGTGTGTTTTGGATCATTGTCCATCTGTTCTGCGAAGTGCTGTCCAATCAACTTTGCTGTATTTGGCTGAATCTCCGCTGACAGTATATCTCTAAACACTGCAGAATCCATTCGGCTGCTTCTGTCTTCTGTCACATCATCAATAAACACCAATGACCCAGTGCCACTGGAAGCCATGCATGCCCATGCCTTCACACTGCCTGCACCATGTTTTACAGATGATGTTGTGTGCTTTGGATCATGAGCTGTTCCAAGCCTTCTCCACACTTTTTTCCCCCCGTCATTCTGGTACAGATTAATCTTAGTTTCATCAATCCAAACAATGCTTTTCCAGAACTGGTCTGGCTTTTTTAGATGTTTTTTTGGCAAAGTCTAATCTGGCTTTTCTATTCTTCAGGCTTATGAATGGATTGCACCTTGTGGTGAACCCTCTGTATTTGCTCTTGTGAAGTCTTCTCTTGATTGTAGACTTTGACAATGATACGCCCACCTCCTGGAGAGTGTCCTTCACTTGTCTGGATGTTGTGAATGGGTTTTTCTTTACCATAGAGAGGATCCTGCGATTATCCACCACTGTTGTCTTCCGTGGACGTCCATGCCTTTTTATGTTGCTGAGCTCACCAGTGCATTCTTCTTTCCTCAGAATGTACCAAACTGTTGATTTGGCCACTCCTAATGTTGCTGCTATCTCTCTGATGGATTTGAAGTTTTTGAAGTCTTACAATGGCCTGTTTCACTTGCTCCTTTGAACACATGATGTAGGTTCACAGCAATAGATTCCAAATGTAAATACCACACTTAGAATCAACTCCAGACCTTTTACCTGCTTATTTGATGAAGAAATAATGAAGGAGTAGCGCACACCTGGCCATGAAACAGCTTTTAAGTCAATTGTCCAATTACTTTTGGTCCCTTGAAAAAGGGGGGATGGCTATTCTTAATGTCAGGGCTCCCGGGTATGACCAGAGGTGTGTGACTGACGCAGGGAAACGCAGACTTCAGATATGTTATAAACAATGTAATTTATTAACACTAACCATACAAACATAAACGCAGTGCAATACTAAAACATAACACAGTGCAAACAAACCAACCAACCACCCACAGATAACAGTTCATACAATGCAAGCGTCGTCAGGCAGGCCGGGTCAATATCAGTCAGGCAGGTAGGTACGGGGGGAGCAAGCGGAGAATGGTCGGGGTCACAGGCCAGGTTCAGCAGGCAGCGGGCAGCGTGGTACAGAGGGTCAGGCAGAGGAGAATGGTCAGACAAGCCAGGGATCAGAGCAGGGTCAGCAGAGAATCAGGCAGGAACAGAGAGCAGGAACAGGATACAGGGCCCAAGAGAAACACAACACCAAGGCAGAGTCTGCAGGTCTGAATGTCCCTTAAATACACCAGTATAATTAGTTCCAGGTGTTTGACTGGCTGCAAGATTGAGTCTCTGATTGCTGGGAGCACCCGCTGGCCAGCCCTGGTACTGCAGCTCATAAGGCAGCTGAGTCCCACTATTGCTGGCCAGTCCATTCCTGACAGTACCCCCCCCCCTCAAGGAGCGGCCTCAGGACGCTCCAAACAGTCCTAGCTGGGCAAAATGTTCCACCGCCCGGGTCTGGTAACTGGCGGGATATCAAAGACTGGCACACCGGTCAGGACTCCGGGCAGCGGCACACCGGGCAGAGGCACATCGGGCAGGACTCCGGGCAGAGGCACATCGGGCTGGACTCCGGGCAGAGGCACATCGGGCTGGACTCCGGGCAGAGGCACATCGGGCTGGACTCCGGGCAGAGGCACATCGGGCTGGACTCCGGGCAGAGGCACATCGGGCTGGACTCCGGGCAGAGGCACATCGGGCAGAGGCACACCGGGCAGAGGCACACCGGGCAGAGGCACATCGGGCAGAGGCACATCGGGCAGGACTCCGGCAGAGGCACATCGGGCAGAGGCACACCGGGCAGAGGCACACCAGGCAGAGGCACACCGGGCTGGACTCCGGGCAAAGGCACATCGGGCAGGACTCCGGGCAGAGGCACATCGGGCAGGACTCCGGGCAGAGGCACATCGGGCAGAACTCCGGGCAGAGGCACATCGGGCAGGACTCCGGGCAGAGGCACATCGGGCAGGACTCCGGGCAGAGGCACGTCGGGCAGGACTCTGGGCAGAGGCACATCGGGCTGGACTCCGGGCAGAGGCACATCGGGCAGAGGCACACCGGGCAGAGGCACATCGGGCTGGACTCCGGGCAGAGGCACATCGGGCTGGACTCCGGGCAGAGGCACATCGGATTACCAGGCGAAGCAGCAGGCAGCGGGCCACCAGGCGGAGCAGCAGCAGGCACCGAGCCCCCAGGCGGGGCAGCAGGCACCGGGCCCCCGGGCGGGGCAACAGGCATCGGGCCCCCGGGCGGGGCAACAGGCATCGGGCCCCCGGGCGGGGCGACCGGCATCGGGCCCCCAGGCGGAGCGGCGGGCGCCGGGCCCCCAGGCGGGGCAACAGGCGTCGGGCCCCCAGGCGGGGCGACAGGCGTCGGGCCCCCAGGCGGGGCGACAGGCGTCGGCCCCCAGGCGGGGCGACAGGCATCGGGCCCCCAGGCGGAGCGGCGGGCGCCGGGCCCCCAGGAGGGGCGACAGGCATCGGGCCCCCAGGCGGGGCGACAGGCATCGGGCCCCCAGGCGGGGCAACAGGCATCAGGCCCCCAGGCGGGGCAACATGCATCGGGCCCCCAGGCGGGGCAACAGACATCGGGCCCCCAGGCGGGGCGACAGGCATTGGGCCCCCAGGCGGAGTGGCGGGCGCCGGACCCCCAGGCGGAGCGACAGGTCTCGGGCCCTCAGGCGGAGCGGCGGGCGCCGGACCCCCAGATGGAGCGACAGGTCTCGGGCCCTCAGGCGGAGCGACAGGTCTCAGCCCCCAGGCAGGGCGGCGGGCGCCGGACCCCCAGGCGGAGCGGCGGGCGCCGGACCCCCAGGCGGAGGACAGGTCTCGGGCCCCCAGGCGAAGCGGCAGGCACCGAGTCACCAGGCACGACAGTGGGCTCCGAGTCTCGAGTCATTTGGCTCGACAGCGAACACCGCGTCATCTGGCAAGGCAGTGGGCTCCGAGTCAACTGGCATGACCGCGGGCACTGGGGCAGACATTGAATCGTCTGGCTGGGCAGCGGGCATCGGGTCACCAGGCATCAGGTCATTTGGCTCGACAGCGGGCACCGCGTCATCTGGCAAGGCAGTGGGCACCGAGTCAACAGGCACGACAGTGGGCACCGGGTCATCAGCTACCGGATTGTCTGGCTCGACAGCGGGCATCGGGTCACCAGGTATGACAGCGGGCACTGGGTCACCAGGCATCAGGTCATTTGGCTTGCCAGCGGGCACCGCGTCATCTGGCAAGGCAGTGGGCACCGGGTCACCAGGCATTGGATCGTCTGGCTCGACAGCGGGCCTCGGGTCACCAGGTATGACAGCGGGCACTGGGTCACCAGGCATCAGGTCATCTGGCAAGGCAGTGGGCACCGAGTCACCAGGTACGACAGCGGGCTCCGAGTCAATTGGCACGACAGCGGGCACCGAGTCAACTGGCCTAATAGGATCGTCAGGCTGGATCAGTTCATCATGCTGGGTAGAGGCATCAGGCTGAATGCCGGCGTCCGGCTGAGTAGAGGCTTCAGGCCGAGTAGAGGCATCAGGCCGAGTAGAGGCATCAGGCCGAGTAGAGGCTTCAGGCCGAGTAGAGGCTTCAGGCCGAAGAGAGGCATCAGGCTGCGTACAGGCATCAGGCCGAGTAGAGGCATCAGGCTGCGTACAGGCATCAGGCTGAGTACAGGCATCAGGCTGAGTAGAGGATTCAGGCTGAGTAGGGGCTTCAGGCTGAACCACGGAAGGCAGGTTCACCGGTTTGGATACTGGCAGGATGGTATTGGTTGGAAAGAATTTTCGCTTTTTTCTGGTTTTAACTACTTGAGCACTGCAAGTAAACGCAGGTCTGCAAACGAATGGAGCAGCTGGAGACAGAGAAGAGCTGGAGGATGGAACAGGAGAGGGAGCAGTTGCTACAGAGGGCTTTTTTACAGGGTTAAAGGCAGGATAGGGTGCAGCGAGTGGGAACAGGGTACTGACATGCGGTAGATAGCAGGGCAGGAGGAGCTGTTGGGAATGCAGGAATAGAGCTTTGAGGAAATAGATTAGAAGCAGGACTGGGTTTTTGTAAGCTGACTGAGGCTGGATGCAACAAGTCTGTCCATGTCTGCAGTATGGGTTGAACAAAGCTGAGCTTACACAAAACCTGTCTGACCAAAGACTGCACTGCGTTTATACAATCTCTTAGTGGCTGTGGTGAACATGTGGAATAACGCTCCAGAAAGTAACCCACATCATCCTCTAATAACCATACCAGGGACTCTACCTGGTCGGCACTAAATGGTGGCAAAAATTCATCCCTGCATTCGGGGTACCAGATGAAACCAACTCAGCACAAACCTCAATCAAAGGCTGCACCTCAGAGAACTCTGTGCCCTGATCTACTAGAACATGAGCGAGCCGTATACATTCTAGCAGTTCATCCCGGGGATACTCCTTCAGAGTTTGATAAGCATACTCCCTGTCATCAAACACTAGCAGATATAAATACGCAACCTCATCCAGATCCATCCTTCCCATCAACAAGCCAAGATGGCTTCCCTGTGCAGCCACTTCTGGTCAGGATTGGCCTTGGTGTAATGTCAGGGCTCCCGGGTATGACCAGAGGTGTGTGACTGACGCAGGGAAACGCAGACTTCAGATATGTTATAAACAATGTAATTTATTAACACTAACCATACAAACATAAACGCAGTGCAATACTAAAAACATAACACAGTGCAAACAAACCAACCAACCACCCACAGATAACAGTACATACAATGCAAGCGTCGTCAGGCAGGCCGGGTCAATATCAGTCCGGCAGGTAGGTACGGGGGGAGCAAGCGGAGAATGGTCGGGGTCACAGGCCAGGTTCAGCAGGTAGCGGGCAGCGTCGTACAGAGGGTCAGGCAGAGGAGAATGGTCAGACAAGCCAGGGATCAGAGCAGGGTCAGCAGAGAATCAGGCAGGAACAGAGAGCAGGAACAGGATACAGGGCCCAAGAGAAACACAACACCAAGGCAGAGTCTGCAGGTCTGAATGTCCCTTAAATACACCAGTATAATTAGTTCCAGGTGTTTGACTGGCTGCAAGGTTGAGTCTCTGATTGCTGGGAGCACCCACTGGCCAGCCCTGGTACTGCAGCTCATAAGGCAGCTGAGTCCCACTATTGCTGGCCAGTCCATTCCTGACACTTAAGAGCTGTAATTTTTAAACCCTTCCTCCAATTTGGATGGACATACCCTCAAATTAAACCTGAGAGTGTGCACTTTCAGCCCATATCCATTGTAGAACTATAGCTTGATTATGTTTTGGTAAATACCTGAAAAAACTAAAACTGTTCCTGTGTATATATGGACCTACCTGTATATCTGGAGTCTCAGATGTATGTTTCTGACAAATTATAGGATTGTTTAAAGCATGTTTTCCAAAATGTCATACTTACACTTTCCATTGACACATTTTACTTTTCTTTAAAATATGTTCAACTTTTTCATTAAAGAGCTAGAACCGAATCATTCACAAGGTAACCTTGTTAGGAGCCTAGAACCCAGGGGATGTCCAAGGAGCCCAGCTACAACCTTCATTTGCCTGCAATTAGCCAGGGGAGTAATATAATTAAAGCTGCATACCTGTTACTTCACAAAGGAGGAGTCACTGGTAGGCAGTTGGTATCTAATAGGGAGGGGCCATGCAAGTACAGACAATGCAAATAAGGCTATCTTTATCAATATCAGTTAATCACTTAAAGGCCACCCAATAGCAGATATACTGCTACAGGGCGGCCCTACTTTGCAAAATCACATAAATAAACATGATTCTGCACTTCTGCCTAGGAAGTGCACATGTGTGCCACCGGTGGGCCACTTCGGCTGTGATTATTCGCCAGGCAGTAAATGTCACCTGCGGGTCGTCAGGCAGAGACACAGAATGGAGCTCTGCCTAAGTAAACAAGGCAGAGCTCCATTCTGAAAGGGGGGGAAAGTGATGAATCTTGTGTCCCTGCAAAGCAGGGAATAAGATCCATCACTTCCCCTAGTAAAAGCACCACCTAGTGTACACAAAATACATTGCTAGGCACACAGTTAACCCTTTGATTGCCCTAGATGTGTAACCCCTTCCCAGTCAGTGTCATTATTACAGTGTCAGTGCATATTTTTATCACTGATCACCAGGGGCGGACTGACAACTCATAGGGCCCCCGGGCAATAGGGGATCATGGGGCCCTGTGTCCTTGCCCAAACCCAAAAAAGCCTATGAAAAAGGTACCAGGGGCATCTCATAGGGCCCCCTACTGACCCGGGCCCTCGGGCAGTGCCCGAGTTTCCAAATGGTCAGTCCGCCCCTGCTGATCACTGTATTAGTGTCACTGGTTCCCACAAAGTGTCATTTAGTGTCAGTTAGTGTAAAGATGTTCTCCGCAATATCGCAGCCCTGCTATAAGTTGCTTATTGCCGCCAATACCAGTATAAAAGAAAAATTCCAGTATATATCCTATACTTAGTAGATGCTATAACTTTTGCGCAAACCAATCAATATTAGCTTATTGGTATTTTTTTTTACCAAAAATATGTAGCAGAATATATAGTGGCCTAAATTTATGAAAAAAATGTGATTTAAAAAAAAAGTTTTGGATAGGTTTTATAGCAGAAAGTAAAAAATATTGTTTTTTTTTTTCAAAATTGTCAGTCTTTATTTGTTTATAGCATAAAAATAAAAAATGCAGTGGTGATCACCAAAAGAAAGCTCTATATGTGGGGAAACAATTACATAAATGTAATTCATGTACAGCATTGCATGACCGCGCAACTGTCAGTTAAAGTAGCGCAATGCCGGATCACAAAAAATGGCCTGGTCAGGAAGGGGGGTAAATCTTCCAGGCGTTAAGTGGTTAAAGAGATTGGTCAGAGCTTTGGACTCTGTTCTGCTTTATTTCATCTCTGGTAAAAACTTGTAAACACAGGTTGTTAAAAAGGCCTTGAATGTGTTTACACTCACCAAACACTTCTGAGTCTCTGAGAATGAGAGAATGTAAGGGCATACTATGCTAAAGGAGTCAATACACATAAGTAATTAACAAAATGTTTTCTTTGCTTTATGCTCAAATGAGTGATGTCTGCAGAATCTTCTAACCACCAGGTACTTTGGGGGTGCTAACGGAATAGAGCAGCACAACACAAATCTGTAGTCTTGCCAAGGGAATTGGTATCTACAAGAAAAAATATGAAAAAACAGCAACTAGTTCTTCTTTACAACA